CATCTCTCCCTGCGCCAGTTCGTGGGGGACGTAACGCTCCTTCCTGCCGTGGAATAAGCATCAGCGCGACGGGACGACCAGGAAACCCCCACCCTGCCCGCGTTCCCTGACTGCTGCCCCTGACTCCAGCTCTGATGTCTCTCTGGCCATCGGTAGGTTCAGCCTCGTTCAGTCTTGGGAGGGTTTTATTTGTACGTGTGGGGCAGAGGGAACTCGCTCCCGCGCGCCGCGCTCTGCTCCCCGGGGGCCACAAGTCCCTCAGCACCCAGCCCAGCGCTGGGAGCGCCGGGGCCCAAACCCTGGGGCAGGAGCTGCCGAACTGCAGGAAGAAAACCTTTGGTGAAAAGGGAAGGAGGTGAGACGGGGGGATTGAAGGAACACCCTCGCAAACGAGCTGTGGGGAAAATTGCAGAGGCCGCCCGGGCCGTCCCTCTCTCCTGCAGCCAGTTCAGGTGTGTCTGGGATCACCTGGAGAGATGGGTATTTAATGAGTTCTGAAGGGAAGTGAAGGTGTTTTTTCCTGCCCAGGCCCTCCTGAAGCTCTTACCGCAGCGCAGGAAAGCTCTCGGGCGTGCAGGAAACACCAATCCCCCAGCACCGGCTCCGCGGCGGAGCGGCCGCCGTACACAAACAGGTACTTCTCACCTGCAGAGACGCACAACCCGGGAAAAAGAGATGTTAGAACTCGGTACGTCACAAAAGCAGAAATTTTTCTCTTTGCACAGAAGGGAAGCTGAGCACAGCGAGAAATCCAGGCAGTCCCCAGGAGCTTTATGCACTGTTTACACTAAGACACCCTGAAACCCTGACTTCAGCAATAAATGCAAGAAATTGTTTCACAGATACAGGAAATACTCCTGTCTAGATCTTTTATAAGACACATGGAAGACTAAATATTCTTACTAACAAACTGCATTGTTCACCTCTGTGGTGATGCAGAAAACCCTCATCACAAACCTCTATTATGTAGTTGCTGAACGTTTAAGGTCCTTTCGCCCACGGCGGGTGTTTGTGAAAGTGGACCCAGCCAGCGGCAAGGGCGTATTCCAGCACTTTCAAAAATGCACTGTGAGCTTTTTTTTCAGCACTATAGAATCACACATATTTTTTAATTCCTGCCCTGCATTTGGAAAATGAGTAGGATTGCAGTTCTTCTGTAATAAAAGCCATTATTACGAGGCACCTGTTGTACAGGTTCTGTAACAAAGCGAGCGTGTGCTACCAGAAATCCTGCTCGGTTTCTGGATCCACCGATTCAGTTACTCATTTCAGGAAACTCATCTGACACTGCTCAGTCCTTCCTTTTTGTCAGATTTACTAAGACTTTCAGACTTGACAAACAGAAAAGGCACCACAAGAACCAGGTAGATACGACAAGACGAACGTATCCAAAGGAACTCAGCCTGAAGTCTTTAAACCTGGGAAAAACGACACTGCTGGAACAAAAACTTTAGGAAATGTAACTGGATCCTCCGAAGCAGAGATGAATCTATCAGGATTGTGCAGAAACGTTCAGCAAAAAGCTGTGATTTCAGGCAAAGGAAGACAACGCCCTCAACGTCAACTGCACAGCCTGCGCCACCCGAAAAACACGGCTTTGCTCGTGGCAACTTGCCTTTTAGACCTCACTGGTTCAGACAGGACTGCCCCGGGTGTTCTGGCACTGACACGCTCCTGCGCAGCTCCGGCCGCTGCCACGCTTCCCGGCGTTCTCACCTTGGAACGTGACTTCAGTCGTGCTGTGTCTCCAACGCAAAGCGGCCGGTTCGGTGGCCGGCGACAGACTGACAAGCTCCACGGTGACATCCTCCGTGCCTGAGGCATCCCAGGTCTCGGGGAACTTCAGCCACAGCATTCCCAAGCCAGCTCTTGATGGGGACGTTCGTCCTCCTACCACCAGGGCCAGGCTGCCCGAGAGACAGGACACGGTGTGGTACAACCGCCCAGCTACAATGACGTGAAACAGCACAGGTCACACGGATCCTTCTCCCACAGAATTCATAGAATCATTGAATTGCTTCAGCTGGAAAAGACCTTTAAGGTCATCGAGTCCAAGTGTTAACCCAGCACTGCCAGGTCACCACTGCCCCGCGTCCCTGAGCCCCACATCTCCCCGGCTTTTAAATCCATCCAGGGATGGGGACTCTACCCCTGCCCTGGGCAACCCGTTCCAACGCCTGAGAACCCTTTCAGTGATGAAATTCTTCCTCATACCTCATGTAACACTCGCTTG